TTTACTGGCACTTCACATTACGTAGTATTCCATATATATTTTTGCACTTCAGACATCAACTCGCATGTCATTTCCTCAAATAATTTTTGGTAGTGTTTCTGATGGAAATGTTTGAAATCTGCACAGGATCCATGTAGACCAGGAGTCAAAGATTCAGTTCAGTTGTGTCAGAATGCTGGTGTCAAGGTGCTTCTTCTGTTCGATTTGAATATAACAAAAAAAGCCAGAAAAGCCCATTCCGATATATTTTTTCCTTGCTAGCCTACTAATAACGCTGCATGATAACTTCTTAATATTTGTCGATGTTCAGGTCCGTATGGTTACTGGTGACAACGTCCAAACTGCCAGGGCTATTGCCTTGGAGTGTGGAATATTAACTTCAGATGCAGAAGACTCCGAGCCTAATCTCATTGAAGGAAAATCATTCCGCGCCATGACCGATGCAGAAAGAGACAAAATTAGCGACAAAATATCGGTACTGTTCACAACACTTTTTTCTAATTCTTAAGTTTGAATGTGTTGGTAGGTTTTTGAATCTCTTAATCTCGTTCTATGTAGAGGTTTGGCCTGTCTTTAGGCCTGACCCAATACAGATATTCTCTTTGAACAGCGGATGCATTGCTTATTGTAATATGATATAGTAGTAACAGCCTAAACTGAAATTTACTTGGTTGTTTCACTTGTGAAGGTTATGGGCCGATCGTCGCCTAATGACAAGCTTCTGCTGGTACAATCTCTAAGAAGACGTGGGCATGTTGTTGCTGTCACCGGAGATGGTACAAATGATGCTCCTGCATTGCATGAGGTAAACAATTGGAAGAAGTTTACTAAAATTTAACTGATTATGTTGAAGTCTATGCTTATTCAGAAAGCCTTTTTTTCTGATTTGGTGTTGGACTTTTTGAGTGGATTTACAGGCAGATATTGGTCTTGCTATGGGAATAGCAGGAACAGAAGTGGCTAAAGAAAGTTCGGACATCATCATCTTGGATGACAACTTTGCTTCCGTTGTCAAGGTTTGTTCAAATTCACTCATTTTTTCTTCATCATAGACTCACTTAGTTGTCTCAAGTTCTGCAAAACACATAGTCTGATTATTCGCTGTTCCAACCTTTAAACTTGGGGTGGCTTCTGATATATACAGGTTGTTCGCTGGGGACGGTCAGTCTACGCCAACATTCAGAAATTCATCCAGTTTCAGCTCACAGTCAATGTCGCCGCTCTCGTCATTAATGTTGTAGCTGCTATATCAAGTGGCGACGTTCCACTTACCGCTGTGCAGGTTTGAGTTTCTGTTGCATTTGGCTCTTTTCTAAGAGTTCATCTCTCAAACTATATGTATAATGTTTTGCTCATACATTTGGTGTTTTCTTTAACATACAGCTTCTCTGGGTTAATCTGATTATGGACACTCTTGGAGCTTTGGCTTTGGCTACTGAACCACCCACTGATCACCTCATGGGGAGGCCTCCCGTTGGCAGAAAGTATTGTTCTTCAGCTTTTGTTTGGTTTCTCACAATCAAATTAAATAAGACATTTGGTTATTGTTCGATGTGTTAATTTGCTCTGACTTACCTTTTGCAGAGAACCTCTTATTACGAACATCATGTGGAGAAACTTGCTGATTCAGGTAAAAAAAAATCGATGAATAAACTCTCTGCATGTATGGAATTTAACCCTTAGTAATAAAAAGTTGAAACTGTATAAATTTTGTAGGCTACCTATCAAGTGAGTGTTTTGTTAGTTCTCAATTTCCGAGGCGTAAGCATACTTGGCCTTGAGCATGAAGTTCCTGAACACGCCACCAGAGTGAAGAACACAATTATCTTCAACGCCTTTGTTCTCTGCCAAGTGAGTTAATTTAAATCGAGTTTCTTCTTTTACCGTATAAAACGAGTGTGTAAATCGCATATGTTTATCATTTTTTTCTTCTTTTCTTGGGTTAACAGGCTTTCAACGAGTTCAATGCTCGAAAACCAGACGAGAAGAACATCTTCAAAGGCGTTATCAAGAATCGTCTCTTCATGGGAATAATAGTCATAACTCTCGTCCTCCAGGTAAAGAAATTGGTCCATCACAAAAACAAATAATAATTTGCATCATATTAACCTTACTAAATCAAAATGTATTATTTTTGTTTGTCAGGTTATCATTGTTGAGTTCCTCGGCAAATTTGCGTCCACAACGAAACTTAACTGGAAACAGTGGCTCATATGCGCTGCCATCGGTGTGATCGGGTTAGTCTTATTATTATACTGTTTTACAGTTATACATGTTGATACGTATTTATATAGTATATGCATGTTGAATCATAGCTAACGTTGTAGTCGAACCTTTATAATTTGACCAGTTGGCCTCTTGCTCTCGTCGGGAAATTCATTCCGGTGCCAAAAACTCCTCTCAGCAACAAACTCTCAGCACTAAAATGCTGGGGCAAGAACAAATCATCTGGAGAAGGTAACAACTTACACTAGCCTTTTGCGATTTAATCATTGTACAAAGGCAAAGTTGGGTTTGGTTGTTTGTTCCCTTATCTTTGGGCCAATTTTTCGTATTTTTTAAAGTATTAACAATTTTTTCTTTCTTTGTCCGCAGGTTCACTCTGATTTGAAGGCCGGTTAATCGCAAGACACCCGTGAGTGCTACTTTAGGACTAACAGAAAACAATGTTTGGTTTGTTTATGGGATTAGTTTGATATTTTCCGAAAGTACAGTTTTTCGGGGTTTGTCGATGGCGGGCAAGTTTGGATATCTGGTTTTTCTTTTTTCCTTTTTTTTTTGTAAGGATGATTCATTACCTTTGGAATATTTACTGGTGATGATTTTTTTTTTTTTAATCAAGAAATATCAAAATTGTTTAGGCGTTTGTGTTACTTCTGTTACATGCAAAATGCGTGATCTTTTTATTTTAACTCTTGTATTTGATTCATTAATAACCGAAATGAAAAGAGTTTCAAAGCAAAATGCATAAACAAGAACGAAACCAGAAGGTATTTTCCAAGAAAAAAGGGAGAAAACAGAGGACACACTGAGCAAAGGAAACCCGAAAAGGCCGACATAAGATATGATGAATGGCTAAAGCTGCTCTTCATATAGACTAACAGTTAGCAGCTTCAGACTCGATGAGATGGTGAAGCCAAGAGGGGCCGCCTCTAGGCGCAATGCGTGTGATGTTAACGTCGTACTTTCAGCTCGACAGTTATTAGTATTGTGTCCTCATAATTAAAAATTCGAGATTGAAATTTGCTTAATCATTTTCACATTTTACGTAGAAAAGAAACGGAATTAATGATATTGAGGCCTCTAGGTAGGCCCTATATTTAGGATAGAGACTCTACGCGGCCGATAAGCTTCAATATTCTCTCAGTCTGGATAGTCAACATTGGGTAAAATATCAATTTGTTCGATACATTTATCTGTTTTGATTTGATCTAAAAGTTCAGATATTCGTAATCTAAGCGAATATTTAAAAATTAAAATAAATCACAAATATTGAACTTTTAAGAGATATGCATTCCTTCTGCTCTATGTAAAAAAGTTATACGCATATCTATAACTTTTAGATTTTTTTATAATTATTACTTTTAAACTTTTTGTTTTTGTCGTTATAATTACTTTTAAACTTCGCGCAACTTTTCTCTCTCTAAAAATCTAGTAAGAGAAAACTTTTTCAAAACTCTTCATTTTTCTTTGGGCGGTGTCCGGTGTTTTCCAATGCTGGCACTGTGCTGTTAATATTCTTCGGATAATAAATTCTGGTGAATCCAGATTTCTTATGTCTATATTTTGTTTGTTTTTTGTTCTCTGACTAAGTTCGGTTTTCCTTTTCCGACTATGATCGGATTTTCTTTTCCGACTAAGATCGGATGATGCGGATCTAGATCTTCTACATGTTTTAATTTCAATTCCATAGGTTAGTGGTCGGGTTTCAGTTCACCAACATCCTTGATTTCTCAATCTTCTTAGGAATCAATCTTCTCTTCTCCGATGTAAATCTTGGGTTATATGAAAGAAGTCTCCTTTGATTGAGAGAGATTTCAAGTCGACAGGAATTTTGTCTGGTGTGTTTAAGCGACGATCGGCAATTCTCGGGATTAACTCTGATGTAACTTGAAGCTCTGATCATCACCTTTGGTACAGCTTTGTAGAAGATCAAGCAACGGTGCATAATCTAAAGCAACGTTATGAAGGCTAGCGTTTGTGATGGTCGCTGGCGGTATTTTCCGGTGACCAGAACTTTCAAGCTCATGCATGACGATCTGCGTTTTAATCTCGACATGTGTTATTTTTTTGATTTTGTACTTCTGCGTGTTTAATACATGTCTATACTTTTCTATCATCGTCTTAATTTGGGTTTTTATGGGCTTAACAGATTGTACCAATGCTTTGCCCTTTTGGGCTTCGTTATAAAACGAATTTGACGGCAAAAAAAAAAAAAAAATTTCTACAGCGCAAAGTGGATATGTAGTTAAATATCCAGATTTTCACTGGATATTTAATAGTATGTATGTAGTTGTAGAACGAATTAGACTGAAAAATATTAATTTGAACCTAACGGAGCGAATTAATTCCACACTACATACAATACATGAGTATCAGCTGAGCTGGCTATTCCACAAAAACGGACGATCAAGAACCGTCAACAGAAACCGTAAAATAGGTCTTACATCGTAATCAGTTCTCGCCACGTAATAAGAAGATTTATCAGTTATATTCGGCTACGGAAATCACTCAGTGATTAACCAGAGAAGCCACTCGATCTTTGTTTTTCTGTCGACTGGTTTCTTTTTGTTTTTGTTTTTATTAGATCGACTACATTTCTTTAATTTTTTTATTCGGTCGACATATTAAAAAATTGTTCGAAAAGAAAGGGAACGCGGAGAAAAGGAAGGAAAAAAAAAAGGGTTAAAAAATGGACGCGTGAAAGAAGAACAAAAGACTGTAGAGAAACACTAGAGCGTGTTTACTCATTACTACTCTCCTCTTCTTCTTTAGTCCCAGACATCGTCGTCTCTCTGTTTATTTTTAATGGTCGGTGAAGAACCGTGATTTGCTCATATCAGGACAAACAAAAAGAAGCACTCCTCAATCTCTCAATTTTCAATCTCAATCTTCCCGTTATTACCGCCACGTGTTTCTCCCTTTCTGTCTCCCTTTTCTTTTGTCTCTTCTCGTCTTCTCTCTAAAAATCTGAATATCTGAGAGTCGAACGAACAATAAACTCCCAACAATCGAAACAGAGACCCATTCTTTCGATTTTCCCCCATCGCTATGTGGGTCAGTGCTGCTTTTCGAATCTGAAAACTAAGCTTGGCCAGAAGGAGCAATGTTATTTACACCCACGATGTTTAGTTCTTGGCTTGGAAGAGATGTGAAGAAGATTCTCAAACGCAAAGACAGTGATGCTGGTGAAAAAGGTAACTGAATAATTAAAAAAAGTAGCTATTTTTACTTTCAATTTCAATTTCGAATTCCTTATTCAAGTTGGATTAGAATTTTTTCTTCGAAAGATCTCCTAATCCTTTCAGGATTATCAAGTCCTGTCTTATAAAACCCAACCCTCCCCTCAAATTTTTAGATTAGGGTTTCATTGTAAGAGATAGAAGAATCTGAGACTTAAATTGCATAACCTTAATTTTGTAAACAATGATTTTGGATTCAGGAAAAGCTCTCGAGGACTTGCGAGCATCCTTATTCAACAAATTCCGTTCACCGGAAACTCCAAAGAGACAGCAGCAACAACAGACACACCGTATATGTGGTCCAACCGTTGCTCTCACTTTCAATTTCTTCGTTGCAATCAGCATTATCTTCATGAACAAATGGGTAAATTTTTAACTTTTAACTCTTTCTTATTAAGCTCATAATCTTCTTCCTTAGTGAAATTTTCATCAAAAGTAATCATCTTTTACTTTTTTGTTCAGGTGCTTAAAAACATAGGCTTTGAGTTTCCAGTGTTCCTCACATTCATCCACTACATTGTAGCTTTTATACTAATGGCTCTTCTCAAATCGTTTTCCCTTCTTCCTGCTGCACCACCTTCCTCCAAATCATCGTCTATCTCGCTCTACACTCTTGGCATTGTAATGTCACTCTCTACAGGACTCGCTAATGTTAGCCTCAAGTATAACAGGTAGGTTTGTGAAAAAATTCTCTATATCTCCTCTGGCTTATCATATATTTGCTGCGTTTCTCACCCGTGGTTTTGTTCTCAGTGTTGGATTCTACCAGATGGCGAAAATCGCAGTTACGCCTTCTATCGTGTTTGCAGAGTTCTTGTGGTATAGAAAGAGAGTTTCTTTCATGAAGGTAACTGAAAATTTTCCTTCTCTGTCTCGTAATGATTAAATCCAAGATTGGATTCATCAAGACTAGAGTTTATAGAAACTAAAAATTTGGTGTTTTTTTTTCAGGTGGTTGCACTTACAGTTGTATCTGTGGGAGTTGCGGTTGCGACTGTAACAGATCTACAGTTTAGTCTGTTTGGTGCTTGTGTGGCATTAGCTTGGATCATACCGAGCGCAACCAACAAAATCTTGTGGTCTAATATGCAACAACGAGAGAACTGGACCGCTTTAGCGTATGTGAATCAGATTCTTGACCTTTTGTTTTTTTCAATTTCTGCTCGCAGTATCTACATCTCTCAACACCGTCTCTCTTGATAAACAGGTTGATGTGGAAGACGACGCCAATTACTCTGTTGTTTCTAGTATCGATGATTCCGTTCTTGGATCCACCAGGCGCTTTATCGTTTGATTGGAGTCTTGCAAATACATCAGCCATCTTTTTTTCCGCTTTTCTCGGATTTTTTCTTCAATGGTCTGGAGCCTTAGCTCTCGGGTAAGTAAACCTTTGTTTGAAGCTTTCATATTAGCAGATTCTTTTGTTGTTGTTTGGTTTGTAGTCGGTACCGAAGACTTATGTTGGAGCTCTAAGTCCGTTTTGTACATTTTTTTTTTTTTGTTTCAGAGCAACTTCTGCAATTACGCACGTGGTTCTAGGACAATTCAAGACTTGTGTCCTCCTCCTTGGAAACTTTTACATTTTTGGATCGAATAGTGGTGTGATTAGCGTTTGCGGTGCGATTGTGGCGATTATGGGGACTTCGTTATATACTTACCTTAACACGAGAGGCCAATCTCTTATTGCTTCGTCTTCTCCTTCAGACAAGAAGTCAAGACTCAGTGATCTTAAAGATGACAAGGATCTTGAACCTTACGGCTCCGAAGCGGTTTAGTCTTAGTCTTGAACATATTTTCTAATATTTTTTAGTATAGTTTTTAGTTAATTTATTCCACGTTCGCTACTACTTATTAGAATTTCTAGTTTCAACTTTTTGTTTTCCTTTTCTGTGTCGATTCTAATTTCTAATTTTTATATCCCTGAAAATAAACAATTGTTTTCTTTTGTTATTAAGTGATTCAGTTGAAATTTTCTCTTTTTCTTTTGTCCTCGAATTGTTACGTTTTTGTCAAATTTTTAGATGTATTTGTGCTAAAATATTTTTAAATTTGATGAAACTTTTTTTAAATCAAATTTATAAAAATAGTTGCATACCAAATCTAACATCTTTTTATTAACATAATTTATGAATTTAATGAAAAGGTATATTCTATTGACCATAATTAGGGGAGTATAGATAAATTAGGAAACGAAACATTAACTCTGCATATATATATATATATATATATATATATATATATGTCAAGAGTGTGTTTGGAGAAGGCGCTTTGGTGAATGTGAGTATCGAGAAACAGATCGCTGAAAAGCCTAGCGGTTACATAAGGATCCGAAGCAAGACACAAGGGATTGCTCTTAGTCTTGGAGATAAGCTTACACTTTAGCAAAATGGAGAAAGTAACTGAAATTAGTTTCACTCACTATCCTCTCCCTCTCTATTAAGTTCAGGTACTCTCTTCACATTTATCTCCTCTTAAAAGACTCTCCTAATCTTCAAATTACCAAATAGTGGAACTGATTATGTTTGTTTCAAACTCATCATCTTGGTGTTACCCTGAATTTTCAGGCAGTGTGTTTACCCAAATCTTTCAGGTTCAATCAGAGCAACAATAATTGCGAACTCAAATTTTTCTTTTTTCTTTTTCTTCGATCTGCTATGTGAGCAGCAAGTTTTGTGACAGGAAATTTTGATATAATGAGGAAGAATAAGTTGTATGGACGAGTTTAACTTGGCTTTAAAAGTTTAGTTTTTTTTTTTTTTTTGCTATAAGACAATTTGAATCATTTGATAGTGTACTACTAAACTGTACATGCACTAGGGAACAAATGATTAAGACCATAATAGATATTGGGCCAGTATGGGCTTTTCTAATATCACTTAGCAGCCGAGCTTTACCTCACATCAGTTGAACGATAACGAGTGTCCTACAGTTATTCCGGCAGTAATTAATCTTTTTTTTCTTTTTGGCAGTAATTAATCTTCTTACAGTATGTTCTACTTCAAAAAAAAAAAGATTAATTACTGCCGGCTTTCTTAGAAAAAAAAAGATTTGGTGATTATAAATGCTCGTTCTTGATAATATCGATCAGATTGAAACAGCATGAATATACAAGATAAGATTCAAGAAATCCAAAAAAAAAAAAAATTGAAACATTATAGTATAATAATAAGGTGCCTAGAGAGACAAGAGCTGTCACTGAGCAGATGTTGTCTCCTACTCAATGCACAAAAAAACTTCTGTAAACTTCAAAACATTATATATATATATATATATATTATTTTGCTCCTTTTTTTTTGGTGAATATTATTTTGCTCCTAGTATAAGTATGTTATTCCTTTCGCATTTAATATTTTTACGCGTAAAAAATAAAAGATCTACTGTCAGATAAAGTCAGAAGTCAGGACAACTATATATAGAGAAGAATGGTTATTGAATTTCATCACATGTGTAGTTGTTCGTTCAATGTACGTTCCGGCGAGAGAGCGAGTTTCAATGTTTATCGCTTCGGTTTGATATCCCACGTGATCATTTTCATGTTATACAGTCAACGTCTCCAAAGGCAAGCGTTGTTGTGTATTCCAAAAGCCCAAGAACAATTTGCTTCTCTTTTACGTTCAAACTTATCCCTTCCCTCTTTATATCCATTTGAATCCTGGAGGATTCAAAGAACACTCAGTGTGACATCTTATAAATAGTTACAGACTTACAGGTGACAAATAAGGTTATGTTGTTGTATATGATTTTATTTCTCACCTCCTGCATACATACGTACATGATTGATACATTAGATTAACTTTCACTTCATATCTAAAACCAACAAAACAAAACTTTCACCTCATATCTAATTTATATAAATATGTTTTTTACAGCTTTATATATGTTAATTATATAGCAGAAATCAATTATTTAAATTTTCCTTGTTCTTTACTCAACGAATTAAATGCGACTATCTTCGACCGAATATTCCGTTTATAAGTCCACTCCACATACTTTTGTACGTACGAAATAATATAAAAGAAATGAAATAAAAAGGCTGAATTTGGAAGGATTAGACCATCTCCAATGGTGAGAGACCCATAGGGGTTCTCACCAAAATTTTTAATATTATTTGTGTTACTTACAGCTATATATACATTTGTAAGAGTTTTTAAGTTTTTAAGCTTTCAATGGAAGTCTCTAAACTCAGAGGTTCTTAAAAAGAAAATTTACAAGATCAAGACTTGGTGAAACATTTTCATACCGAGTGGGTTGAAGGGGTTGTGGGTTTAGTTGACTATTTAGGAAGTTCATGAAGCCAGGGTCGCTATATGGATTAGTAAATCCATATGTTCCTGCGATGGCTGTTTAAAGGAGAAGGAAACAGTGTTTAAAGGAGAAGAAAATGACTGTTTAAAGGAGAAGGAAAGAGATGAAAAAAAGAAGAAGAAAAGAAATAAATAAAAGAGAAGGCAAGAGATGAATAAAGAAACTAGAAGCTTGTGTCTTAATAAAAGAGAGAAAGATTGTGTCTTAATGAACAATCGATGCTAGTGTTTACGCAGATATTGTTAGCTTTAAGTTAGAGCTGCAAGTTTTTCTTTGTGTTGTTACCAGTCAGATCAAAGTGACTACACCTAACTACTAAGCATTAAACACCATCACTCTAACTCTAACTCAAAGCATCCACCAAGCATTGATTCATTGTCTAACTAAAACCTACGCATTAACTATAACTCTTACTCAAACCATCCACCAAGCATTAACACTAACTCTAACTGAAAGCATTGCATAACTCTAACTACACACCATCAATCGCAAACATCATAGCAGAAGATAAACCATAAACTTCAAAGCAGAAAATAAATACCTCTCCACACAATTTATCCTGAGCATCGATTACTTCTGTAAACCGCCTTATCTCCTCCATCTTCGATTGCTGTGGCGGCTGTCACGACCTCTTCACCGCCGTCTTCATTCACCACATTTATAAACCGAACATGAGCTTGTGGTTGGAGACAACAGAACTTGTCAGCCTCAGGATGGTCGGTGGTTTGGTTGGAAGTCACAATTGCAGCATCAAAACCCTTATTAGATTAGTGTAAGATGATTCCTAACTAACCAAATCATCTAATTCGGATGAACCCAAACAAAAATTGCAGAGATACAAAGAAAATTACCCAGCTTTCCTTCTCTCCAACTATTTTCTAAACCCAGAAATATGCAGAGCTTCCTCGCTGATGATGAAGTTCGATTCAACATGCATGCAGGAGACAACCTTTTCTCCATTCGATTTGCAGAGCTCCCTCACATCGTCTTCTTCGTAAACATCGTCTTTTTTTCAGAACCCAAACATCGTTTTTTTTTTTCACAGTGTTTCTCGAATGCAAAGAGAGAAAGAATTCTAAATCCAAAAAATAATTACAAAAAATAAAATTATGTTTCACCCAATCATATTGTGACACATCAGCGTCTCTTATAGTCTCTTAAATCTCTTACATGAGAACCGTCTCTCCTCTTAAAAAGTATTTTATCTTTAATTTTAGGGAGGGTTATTGGGAGTTGGATTTATGAAGATTTTAGGGGGTGTTATTGGAGAGTTGATTTATAAAGATATTTAGAGTTTAAGATTCTATAGTTATTGGTTTGTGGATTTTTACATTCTTAATAGATTCCTCTGTTATTCATTTAGAGATTATAAAAATCAGTTGTTATTGATATGATGATTTTTATAATCTTAATCAAAATCCATTGTTATTCAAAAAGTCTGCATTTTAATGATTCTATGATTCTGTTATAATCTAGTGTTATTGGCATAATGATTCTTTATAATTTAATTCATAAATCATGATTCTCAAAATACTACATATATCCCTTGGATTCTCAAAATCTGTCATATTAAAAAATTCTTAATAGATTGTTTAAATCCATAGAACTCTCTCTAAATTTTATAAATCCAACAAAACTCTTAAAAATTTGACAAATCTCATGATTTTTAAAATCAACTAAAATCTTCATAAATCTAACTCCCAATAACCC